AAAAAAAAAAAAAAACTCAAGGGAGACAAGGAGTAAGTTTAAAAGGAAGAATAAATGGGCTTGTTATACAACTGCCAAATGAAAATATTACTGCCAGACTGCACAGTGGAAGATGCAATGCTGGGTAAACAAGAAAGATGTCAAAAAGAGGATGAATATCCCGTCACAAAACAAACGATTAAGAGGGAACTTTTTATTTATTTACATGTAAATATAACATAAATCGAGAGGCGTAATCTGCAAAACTCAAATCTCTAGATACGTGATCTAAGAAGGTTTCCGAGGAACTCAAGGCGTGTATTCATCCGGCACCACTGGAAGTTTCTTATATAAAATGGATTAGAAACAAATGTTTGCACTCATGTGGATATAATCAAGTCCGGGGCTCTGCGGCTGGCCTTTCAGCTGAGCTGCGCTAGGGGGATAGAGAAAAAAACAAAAAAAATTCCAAACTCAAACTCAATCCTCTCTCTTGTTTCCAGGAACCGGCCGCAAGGACTGAACGTCTCTGGGTGAGCTCAGTGCAGAGTGTTGCAGAGAGAAGAAGGGGAGGCGGGTGGGGGTGAAGGGATAGGAAGGACGTTTCTTCTTCTTCTCCTCTTTCTCTTTTTTTGGTTGCTGGCAGGAACCGTCAGCGACCCGATCTGCTTTCAATTACCGGTGGAGGATGATGTTAGCCCTCTTCCTGTCCGTTATGTCTTGCACATGCAAACTCCAAAACATCCTGGAGTCTCACCACTGTCCTCTCATCCCTCCTTCCCCTCCCCTGCTCCCTCTTTCTCCCTCCATCCGCTGAGAGCAAAGCGATTCATCTTCATTGCAGTGGAGGGTAAAATAGCCACGGGGTCATTTCCACTCTTCCTTGGCCTGACCCTGTCTTTTAAGTGCCGGTGATTCGGTGGTCAGTGGTCCAAAGAGTAGTTAAGGGATTTTCTGAATGTGCATTAGAGGGAAAAGGGAGCTGCTGTTGATGAGCTTTTAGTTCTTCTTGTGGCAATAAGTGGTGACGCTGTTTGGGTTAGAAATTTGTTTGGTGCTTTAAATGAAGCAAAGACTGTGAGTGATGTAAACCAGTCTGCTTCCTTGTAGGGCCATCGCAAGGTTGAATGCAACTGAGACACAACTAATGCTGATTATAAACAAAGGTTCCGATACAGATTGTGTCAGTACAGATGATGTCATAAACCAGGCAGGCCTCTTAATGATTATTTTTTCCTTGCATGATTTTTCCCTCAGTAGTCTGTGACATGTAGCACGCAGCCTCAGTTAAAATTAAAGGTTTACTATGCAGGAAATGTCGGTGACTGTTTGTAAACAGTATAGCCAGCTAAAGTGAAAGCCAATCCCAGATTCACTCTGCTTGTCATTTTGCCTTGCTATATCTGCGTTTTTCCAGCGCTCAGTGGTTAGCACTGTTGCCTCACAACAAGAGTGTTCCCAGTTCGAAGCCTGGGGTATGGGAACCCTTCTGTGTGGAGTTTGCATGTTCTCCCTGTGTCAGCGTGGGTTTCCTCCAGGTGCTCCAGCTTCCTCCCACAGTCCAAAGACATGCAGGTTAATTGGTGACTCTAAATTGTCCGTAGGTGTGAATGTGAATGGTTGTCTGTCTCTATGTGTCAGCCCTGTGATAGTCTGGTGACCTGTCCAGGGTGAACCCCGCCTCTCGCCCAATGTCAGCTGGGATAGACTCCAGCCCCACCGCAAGCTCAGCTGAGCTTATCAGTTCTTTTTATCAATGCTGACAGTTGCGCATTGCAAAGACAATGACTTCAAACTCATGCATCTACACTGCTGGAAACTGAGTCATGGCGGAGAGGACGAAATGCTCCAAAGTGTGGTTTCATTTCACAAAGAAAAATGACAACAGTGCTGCTGTGATTTCTGTAAAACGATGATTTCAACTGACACATCGTTCTACACAACATGGGCTTGAAGTCCAGGAATGTCACATATCTGACAACCTAAATGAGAATGAATGCTGTACAAATGTTTCCTCATTTTATCTATTTTGATGACGACAGACTGACTGTTGCTACACTGTGTTCAGACACAGAGATAATAAAACAGTTGTGTTGACGCTGAAAACCTGTGTAGGCCTCCTTTTTTCCCACACAGAGGGTAGATCAGGAATCAAGGGAGTTGATGAACAATCGCACCAATAAGAAGAATCGATGACGGCATTGATATCAGTAAAACAGTATCAATTCCTATCCCTACCCTTGGATCCGTGTGGTTTACCCTCTGGCATCTGGGGCCAGATGCAAAAAGAGTGGGTGTGGATTCTGACTAAAACTACATACATACGTTCATACATATGAAGACATAAAATGTACATATGCACTCTTTTTGCCAAATTTATAAAGCAGCATGTACGCACATTTGTTTTATAAATCTCAAATCATTTTGGAGCTGGGTGCACATGCATGAGCCTCATTTCCACTCCCCAAATTTCACCATAAATGGATACAGAAACAGCTTGGATAATAATACCACTCATTAGACCTGTCTGAGAAATACCGCAAAGAAAGTGCAATTTCATAGACTATGTCGCATCGGTGAGGTGCCAGAGGAGCCGCCATTTGTAGCGTCCCTGTTACTTATTCATCAGATGTTTCTGCCAACCGTCATTGCAGTAAAACCACGATTACCATTATTATTAAACATCAGAGGGATGTCCGGTGATTCAGTCATAGGGCTCTTGTTGACACTGACTTTGCAAAATGCTTTGTGGAGAGGAAAATCTGTGAAACTGCCGACAACCTGAAAACAATGTTACCCATCTCACAACTCATGTTCGAACTCCTTCTCATCATCTCAATGGCACCTGTCGCAGTTAAAACTGTGTGTACACCTGGTGATGTGTGAGGTGTGCACATTCTTCCTCTATCAATACCAGTTTATGTGTGGGAAAAGGCGTATATGCATGTTTTTTGGGAGAACAAATCCCTTATACATCTGGACTGATCATTCACTCTCTTCTCTCTAACTTTGACCGTGTCCTCTAAAATGTCTTCTACAACACAAATCTTGATTTCTTTAGACTGGCTCTTTATCATATTCTGACATCAGTTAGTGACTGTAGCCTTCTGTCAGCAGTAGATGTCAAGAGGTCTTCTGACCACAGGTCACCATACTGCAGTCCAGGCCTAAAAATTAATCCTTAAACTTTGACTTAAGATCTACGTCCACCTTTAAAAAGCAGCTCATGACCCACCTGTTTACACGTCAGTGGATTAAACTCTATATATAGATATGACATTGTATTATGTCTGTATTTCATGTGATTCACTTTGTAATGTCTGCTCTAGAAAGGTGCTAATAAACTTTAATTACTTCTTTTGACCAGCTGCATTTCTTGGCCAATTTAGCGCAAAACACAGACACATTTGGCAAGATTTAACAGCTACGTAGATCTGTCAGGCCTGGAAAGCATCAATTTTCCAATTGTATTTTATTCGCTGACTACAATAACTGCAGACAGCCCTGTATTTAGGTTTATAGTCTGTTTACACAACAGGAACTTTTCTAGGAAACCAGGAACCATTTCAGGAACTCAGGAACCTTGCATGGTGGTGCAGTGGTTAGCATAGTCGCTTCACAGCAAGAGGGATCCTGGGTTGAACCCGTGGTGGCGGATTCGAATCTCAGGGTGGGGGAGCCCTTCTGTGTTGAGTTTGCATGTTCTCCCCGTGTCAGCGTGGGTTCTCTCCAGGTACTCCGGCTTCCTCCCACAATCCAAAGACATGCAGGTTAATTGGTGACTCTAATTTGTACGTAAGTGTGAATGTGAGTGTGAATGGTTGTCTGTCTCTAAAGCCCCTTTTACACTGCCAGATTTTCCGTAAATGTTGGAACTTTTGCCGGCCAGCTGCGAGCATTTAGACACACAGAGCCAGACAGGCGAGTTGATGCGAGGTGCCCAATTTTCCCCCTCGTAGGGTAGTCGTATTGGCGGAACCCTTTTAGTTTAAACAGACCGAGGCACCCTTCCGCCACAGGAGGGGCTGTTGATGACTTGTGGGAGGAGCTGTTTATGACGCCGCACGTGCGACCCACTGGCGGTGGATAAACTGGAAACAGCTGATAGCAGGAAGTAGTGAGCAGCTAGAAGCAAGAGGGAAACACAAACCTGACAGACACTGTAAAGATGAGCAGCTGGGGAGACAAGGAATTGCGCGCCCTCCTTGTCCTCGCAAACAAAGAGGCCATTTACCGTCAGATGATGGGGACGGTGAAGGACGGGCCGACTTACGAGAGAATCGCCGAAGGACTGACCAGCCACGGCTTCCCTCCCACGTCACTGTTTATGTCACACGCTGAGCTACACATTTTGTTACTTGCTCACGCCCCCCATTGCCCCGAAAAAGGCACATTCTGGATGAACAAAAGTAGGCAGGCGGCATTTTGCTGCACTCCCCGATTTTGCTTTTATACTGCCAATGCTGAAAAAAGACTGATTGGGCTTTCCTGCAAATTTGCACAATTCTTATCTAAAAAGGGCTTATGTGTCAGCCCTGTGATAGTCTGGAGACCTGTCCAGGTTTCGCCTCTCGCCCAGTGTCAGCTGGGATAGGCTCCAGCCCCCCCGCGACCCCTGACAGGATAAGCGGTTACGGAAATGAATGAATGAGAAACCTTTCCTGTATTTTGACTCGTGGTACCAGGAACTAAATTCAGTCCCTGCTCCGGAGGTAGTACTGAAATGATCTCAAGAAACATTGGGGCAAAGTTTGCAGTTTGCACTGCTGATTGGTCAAACAAACCAGCGGAAGAAGATGCTGCGGCTACAACTTGTGTACAGCTGTATTTGTTAAGACAGCCCCAAGATCCATTAGTATTAATATTAGGATGAAGGAAAGATATTTTCGTATTGTTTCTTGACTTTTAAAACAAAGCTGTTGGCTCTTCAACTTGTGTAAAAAAGGAAAGCGATGGTGTGTTCATGAACAAATGAGCGAGATGGAGACAGAGGTAGCGGTGATCAAGAGAGGTTACTGTACCTTGGGGACATCGATAGCGACCTCCCTCATTGCACTTGGCTTCACAACAGACATGGCCCACTGGAGGTCCTGCAGAGTGACGGTCACAGTCCCTGTCAGCTGCTGGTCCGATGGTTGGTGGGAACCTCCCAGTGCTCGCCTCAGTGCATGCAAACCTGTAGAAAGAGGGTGTACACATTTTAATTCTCTCCTATTGGATCAGCAAAAGAAAAAACTAACTGACCTTTTCTTGACAAAGTCATGCTTTACAAAGACAAAATATATATCAATAAATCCAAAGTTGCGGAATTGAGTTAGACTCAGAAAAAACAAGATAATGCCATGGCTTAAAGAGATGGAAAAGAGTCCTCAGGTCCACATATCACAACAGAAATGGTGAATCATTTATAAAATAAAAGCCTGTGATTTGAGGCATAAAAAGGGATATGAAACTGCTGTTTGTTTTCCTAAAGAAGCAATGCGAGTGTCGTTGTGGCTTTAGGGTTTTCAATCCAAACCCACACGCACCCAGTCCAACTTTTTACTCAAAACATTCAGGCTCGTACACGCTGTGATGATACACGCCTAGTGAATGCAAATCTCAAAATGAACACTAATTCCCCTTTTGACCGAGGAAATAATTGGGCCCGCGTTACTGGGGGAAAAAAGAGAGCAGGCCGAAGGGAAGGGAAGTGTAATTGAAGCGCTTAAGGTTTGAATACCGTCAATTCCAGAGACTTCAGCATCTGAACAAAAAGAAGACAGCCAAACAAACACGGATGTGTCAATATCAAGAATGGGCTTTTGTTTTGCATTGCAAAAGAGGTCAGAGCAGATTGATCTGGAGAAAAAAAAGATCTGGGCACAGACAGCTCCGCAAAACACAGAGGTGATGAGTGAGTTAAGACAGAGATTGTATTTATGCACAGGAAGGGTTATTAAACATGCACGCTCTTCCTGAATTGTGCTAATCAAGCGGTGTGAAGTGTTTGGAGTTATTTCAGGCATCCAGGGTGCCAAAGTAAAAGTCCTATTCATGGTCTGCATGTGAAGTGACTGACAGTTGGAGTACTTTCAATACCTCGGTGGACGTGAAACTCTCCTGATTGGATCACATGTACAAAAGATGAGCAGCTGTGTCAAGCGATGTGGCTGTTTGATAAAAACAAGTCAAAGGTACAAGCCTGTGTATGTGAAGAGTACAGGGAGAAGTCCACAACAAAACATCCAATCACCAAGCTTAAAATTTGGCTGTGTGCAATGCTAAAGCTAAAGATTATGCCTTGTGGAAACATCCAGCTGTTTAAATGAGTTCACTTTTGGATTCTGAGGTGATGCATGGACGCATGATTTGTTTTGCTTATGCTACATCTCTGATGTGCTTCAAAGGTCTCTCCTTTTTTGTCACATCAGGTTTAGTTTATTAACAGTGCACAATTTGTCAGAACTCGCGTCAAAACAATTAGACGATGGCCTTATAAGGGAAGTTTGTATCTTTTAAAGTGGGGTTACATGAGGTATTTATCCATAGTCAGCGTACTACCTGCAGTAGTGGAAGTCAGCACACCCCTGGTTTGGAGAAGCACACAGGAGTACTGTCACAGAAGCTAAGTAATGTACTGCTGTGGATGAGGGCAGCAACATAACATGTTTTAGCCACCTAAAAAAGTTCATTCATTCATTTAATGTAACTGCTATTTTGATTAACCTAACCCAGAGAAAACCCACACTGACACTGGGAGAGCATGCAGACTGTGCACAGGCCCCCGCCCCATCCTGGGTTCGAACCAGGAACCCTCTTGCTGTGAGGTAACAATGCTAACCACTGTACCACTGTGCCGCCCACCTAAAAAAATTAGCAATACTGTAAAACTTTGACCTTAATTTCAAAGCTATTATTTGCTCACATCACTGAAATCGATGAGCCTGTATTTGGGACAAGCGTCTGTATGGGACAGGCCTTTAATTTCTTTTACATGACTGTTGCCCAGCCAAGATGGGAAATACAATTTTGTATCTGAAATTAGGCTTCGTATAACATATCAATTATTCATTTGATCTAGCTCCGACAGACAGAGAATGTAGATGCTCATTTTACTGCACTTGAGGATTACAGCACCCAGCGTATCAACACAACACCACTTTATGCTGTTAAAACAATACGTTTTCATGAAAAACCCTTTGATTCTTTTGATCGTTGGACCCTTTCGGACTAAAAGAGCATGAATAACTTACTGCATAATCGAGGAATTGACACATATTTTGACTTCATGACAGCTTCAGAGGAAGGGAGTCATGCCGGTAAATCTGAATTACGGTCTCCTCTGGTGCTCGTGGTTTTGGTAAAATCAACTGAACCACTGAATTGTGGAGAATCTAACCAAGCTAACGATGTGTACCATCTGTATATTGACAAAAGTTTCAACATGTATACAGTACAGGCCAAAAGTTTGGACACACCTTCTCATTCAATGCGTTTTCTTTATTTTCATGACTATTTACATTGTAGATTCTCACTGAAGGCATCAAAACTATGAATGAACACATGTGGAGTTATGTACTTAACAAAAAAAGGTAAAATAACTGAAAACATGTTTTATATTCTAGTTTCTTCAAAATAGCCACCCTTTGCTCTGATTACTGCTTTGCACACTCTTGGCATTCTCTCCATGAGCTTCAAGAGGTAGTCACCTGAAATAGTTTTCCAACAGTCTTGAAGGAGTTCCCAGAGGTGTTTAGCACTTGTTGGCCCCTTTGCCTTCACTCTGCGGTCCAGCTCACCCCAAACCATCTCGATTGGGTTCAGGTCCGGTGACTGTGGAGGCCAGGTCATCTGCCGCAGCACTCCATCACTCTCCTTCTTGGTCAAATAGCCCTTACACAGCCTGGAGGTGTGTTTGGGGTCATTGTCCTGTTGAAAAATAAATGATCATCCAACTAAACGCAAACCGGATGGGATGGCATGTCGCTGCAGGATGCTGTGGTAGCCATGCTGGTTCAGTGTGCCTTCAATTTTGAATAAATCCCCAACAGTGTCACCAGCAAAACACCCCCACACCATCACACCTCCTCCTCCATGCTTCACAGTGGGAACCAGGCATGTGGAATCCATCCGTTCACCTTTTCTGCGTCTCACAAAGACACGGCGGTTGGAACCAAAGATCTCAAATTTGGACTCATCAGACCAAAGCACAGATTTCCACTGGTCTAATGTCCATTCCTTGTGTTTCTTGGCCCAAACAAATCTCTTCTGCTTGTTGCCTCTCCTTAGCAGTGGTTTCCTAGCAGCTATTTGACCATGAAGGCCTGATTGGCGCAGTCTCCTCTTAACAGTTGTTCTAGAGATGGGTCTGCTGCTAGAACTCTGTGTGGCATTCATCTAGTCTCTGATCTGAGCTGCTGTTAACTTGCGATTTCTGAGGCTGGTGACTCGGATGAACTTATCCTCAGAAGCAGAGGTGACTCTTGGTCTTCCTTTCCTGGGTCGGTCCTCATGTGTGCCAGTTTAGATGTAGCGCTTGATGGTTTTTGCGACTCCACTTGGGGACACGTTTAAAGTTTTTGCAATTTTCCGGACTGACTGACCTTCATTTCTTAAAGTAATGATGGTCACTCGTTTTTCTTTAGTTAGCTGATTGGTTCTTGCCATAATATGAATTTTAACAGTTGTCCAATAGGGCTGTCGGCTGTGTATTAACCTGACTTCTGCACAACACAACTGATGGTCCCAACCCCATTGATAAAGCAAGAAATTCCACTAATTAACCCTGATAAGGCACACCTGTGAAGTAGAAACCATTTCAGGTGACTACCTCTTGAAGCTCATCGAGAGAATGCCAAGAGTGTGCAAAGCAGTAATCAGAGCAAAGGGTGGCTATTTTGAAGAAACTAGAATATAAAACATGTTTTCAGTTATTTCACCTTTTTTTGTTAAGTACATAAATCCACATGTGTTCATTCATAGTTCTGATGCCTTCAGTGAGAATCTACAATGTAAATAGTCATGAAAATAAAGAAAACGCATTGAATGAGAAGGTGTGTCCAAACTTTTGGCCTGTACTGTATTTGTATGTGCAATCTAAACAGCTATTTAATGTTAGCTCCAGTGGGTAGCCAACAACGCTGTTTTATACATCCAAAGAACTCATATCGTCTTCGCTGGTGCTTTGCTGTAATTTCCTCCGTACAGTAAAGCGATCCATTGTCCTACTCGCAGCTTTGTCCTTTTAATCGTTGTGATCCCTCACACTGGCTGCCAATCAGGGCTTCTGATGTGTCACACACTTAAAACTCCTATACATGGACAGCAACAGATAGGTTCCCAGTGATTAAATTACATTTTTTAGCTAGAGTTTACCTCTTAATTGGGAAACAGTGCACACAACATACTGATAGAGTCAATTAAAAATTCATTCATAACTTTTTGTATCCCACAGCACACCTAGATTGGCATCACAGCACACACCATTTGAGAACCACTGCCCTAGCCTGCTTCTCCAAAGTGAGGTCGCGCCGACTGGTAATACACTATGGATAAGTACCTCATACAACCCCACTTCAAAAGATCCCAAGAATCCCTGTAAACAAACCTACAGTATCTTCAAATGTATCCAGCACATTCAGGTGTCTCATGATGAGGAAAACTGTGGATGTCAGTAAAAGTTAAACAGCAGCTCCTCTGACTCTCCAGATTTATTCAGCTGCAGTTCACCCTCTGTCGTTGGGGATTTTCCCGGAAAAACATCTCTGTCTTCTATTGTTGGACACCAAGCAGTTATGGTTGATTGCCTTGCTCAAAGGAAGCTATGTAAGCATAACTGCAGGAACTTTCTTTTCACCTTCCAGTCTTTTTCACAGTCAGTCTGAAGATTTAAATCGATGACCTTCCTGTCATTGGATTTCTGTTTCAACAACCACTTGAGTTGTTATCTCTGTCCGATAGGAAATGAAGATTGATTAAGGACCTTGTTTCTGCAGCTTGTCATCAGTATAGGATGTTATTTCAAATTTAGGTTTTGTTCAAGGAGAGTTTTCCCAAATGAGTTTTCAAAATCTTGGCAAGAGTTTGATATGCCGGTCATGATAGAAGTCTTCAACAATGTGCAAACATTTGCAACTTTGCTGAGAGAATCAGTCAAGTGCACGGGGGATCTTTTTAGTGCGTTTCTGCTTGTAA